CCTTTCCAACATAATCTGGAGACGAGAGAAAAGGTCAAAATGAAATAGTATCAGAATTACTTTTTACGAAAGACTCAGAATTACAAAGACTTAAAGGTTAATCCTTTGCTAGTCTGTAAAAACTCATACTTGATTTTTTAAATTTAATATTAAACACAGCTAATGACATTTTCAATTAAAAACATTAAATTCTGAAGTCCTTAACAGTTATGAAACTTACAAAATGTAGAATTAGGCATTTTAAAGGAAAATTAAGATTTGCAGGTAGTAATAACATAATTAACTAAAAAAATCTAAACCTAAAAAGACAACAGAACTTCAAACTGAGGAGCACATATTTTCTTCAGTAATAACATAATCAACAACAGACTTTAAGATGAGGAACACAAATAAAGGAGTAAATGAAGATAGCATATATTCATGTAATTTACATGTACACAATAATCTTATTAATCTCACTAATCATCCAGTAATAAATTTACTCAGGATGATTTTGATAATGCATCTTGTCCTCACTAAGCAAGAACGACTACAGCAAACACGATTTTAAGTTTTGGATTTTACACAGTATAACCAAGTTACACAACATAACTAAGTTAAGATTATAAAAAGAGAAAACACCACCACTGATGGAACATAAATCAAATATCAACAGCTACAGTTTTTACGGGTGAATGCTTTTAAGCATGATAAATTATCATATTCATTTCATGAAGAAAAATATTGGTTCTTCCTCTGCATAGTAAATTTCTTAATGATGATGACATTTAAAAGAATTCTACTCTCTGAATTTAAATATTTCTGAGTACCCCACAAAACACCGAGGAACGGAGACGTACGTGCTGCTAAGGAGCTGCTGAGCCAAGTGTTTTTCTTAAAATTTAATAATAAACTATAGAAAAGGGAAGCAATTAGCAAATGTGATTTAGCTATCATTAATCTTCATCAAAGGATTATAATGATGTACATTGTGTGCCTTTCAAATTATTCTCTATTATAGGTTTCACAACAGAAGTAGAGAAATCTCTTTGACAAACTAGTCCCTTATTAAAAATCAAAGGAAAATACTTTGCTACCATCTGTGCAACATTAACGCCTTCACTAAAGAATGATTATTTTGTAAGTTAAGAAGTATTCAGTTCTATTTAAAACAAGACAGCAGCAACACAGCTATTCAAATGCTCATCTTCATCTATTATAAAAAAGTCATAGCATATATGAAACACTATGCAATTCGCTACAAAAAGACCAGCATCTCTCCCAAAACCTCTCCTAACAGCAAGGAAAATTGAGACCCATGAAAGCATAATCAAAGTGTTGCTGTTTTTTTTTTTTAATGTCACCAACACCAACATATGCTTCACAATACCTGACCAGCACCTGCAATGTCTGATTTAATAAGATGGGGGGCAAGAGAAAATAAAAACTTTAAAGTTTAATGCCACTCATAGAAAGCAGATTATGTTTTAAAGAATAAGGTAAAATTACCCATAAATGGTTGTCAGAAAAATTTATGACAATCTCTTCTCTTTAAAGAACACTGAACCAAGAAAAATCTGTTCAAGTATTTAAAAGCTCATTTTAGAAAGTATTACTATAAATTAGGCTTCTTTGTCTCCAGTATACCATATACCATGTCCATGATTTGACAAGTTCTTCCTAATTACCCATTTTAATTACAGTAATTATATATTTTATAGTAAATGAAAGTAACAAGGTTCATTCAGAAGATAAATTGTAAATTACAGGTTTAAAAAAAATAGAGAAAGTGTGGTTCTGTCCAACCATTACACTTAATTAATCATATTCAACAGATTACCATTTAATAGAACCATATGATTTTGGAGCTAGAACTTAGGAATCACTTAATCTAATAACTTTATCTTGATATTATTTTCCAAGTTCCTCATTACAAAGAGGATGAACCATTATTTGTCACCAACTGTTAGCTCCCTTTACATAGTCATCTAGTTTGCCTTATAATATTTTGTTTTAGAAGTACTTGCTAGATAAAAATATATGGCATAAACTATTAAGACACAAAGGGATATACCAAAAGAAACCACCTCAATTTCCTTCAAGACTAAACCTGTTTTGGGAGGCTAAACCTTGAGAGGACAAGGTGATAATGATGCAGCTTACAAGAAGTAGAAAATACTCTGTACCATGGAAATAACACATCCAGATAGAAATTTATATTCTAGATACATTTCATCTTCTGTAAATATAGCAAAAGAGATGTTACCATTATAAAATGGATTATTGAAACCAAAATGTAAGAATTTGTTTTAATAGATTTAATTAAGCTTAGTCTCTAGGATATGAATTAGTCTTAACTACCAATTTTTTTCTAACACAAGTGAACAAAATACCCACACTTATAACAAAAGTATTGTACTAAATGATAAAACAATAGGCAAGACACTGACAATATGACCACCGTGCATAACCTAGGCCCTCAGTTTCCTCACCTACAGAATAAAAATCCTACAACTCTGATCATAGGTTAGGTAAACAGTGAAATCTCAATTCATTTTAATATAAGTAAAATGTTAAAGCCAGCACAGCTCAAGTCTGCTAATGACTAACGTAATCATCATTCATCATAATAAGGAAAACAAACACAAAATGGCCTTTGGAAAGTGAATCACTGTAATTCACTCCCCACGTTCTCTTAGATGAGAAAGACAGAATTTCAGAAGGCTTCAGGTTCCACACGAAAACTTGTTCTCTACTCAGCAATTTTCCTACCTCTCTTTTTTAATGATGAAATATTAAGGCATTTAATATTCCAAGGTCCATGAAATGTGAAAACCATACTGATAACTCAAACATCACTAACTAACAGCAAAATTCCTTGAGGAGCCCCCTGATTCCTCTTGGCACCTACATGGTACGCAGACCCCACTGAGCCAGAAGTAACTACAAGCAACCCACTGAAGGTTATTCTGCTCCCCGTTAGCACCATCAGAAGTGTCACAGTATTCCTTATGGGCTAACCTGTGTCTCTCCCAAAATTCACATTTTGAAGTCCTACTCCCATTACCTTAGAACATGACCTTATTTGGAAACAGGGTCATTGCACATATAATTAGTAAAGATGAGGAAGATGGGTCGATCAAACAAAAAACGGAAATTTGACACAAACATGCATATATGGAGAATACCACATGACCGCCTTCTACAAATCAAAGAGAGAAGCCTGGCACTCATCTTTTCCTCGCAGACCTCAAAGTAACCAAACTAACCTACCCCTTGATTTCGAGCCTTCAGAAAGATGAGACAGTAAATTTCTGTTGTTTAACCCACCCAGTCTGTGGGACTTTTTTACAGCAGTCCTAGCAAGCTAATATCTGACTAGACAGCAGCTGAAGAAGAATCATATCAGAACATCATTACAGCCACAAACAAAATTGCACCCAAATTTCAATGCCTGGCCAACATTACTAAAAGGCCACACATCTTTAAGAACCTGATGCAAGCCACTTTCACACAGACGTGACATTTTTCGTATCGTACACTTAACTCAAGAGAGTCACTAATCCCCACCCTCAACACTGCTAAAGATGTGTGGACTCTTGATTAAGAATTCCTGCCTAATCAATGGTTATATGGATGGGGAGGGAGCAGATCATACACCCATCTTTTTAAAATATAAAGTAAAACACTATCAGTATTGTCTCTGATGAAGAAGGAAAAGAACACAGATGAACTAATAAAACTTTTCCTCATTATGCCTTTAAGTAGGTTTATGCTATTTTTTAAAGTAACACTTTTAAAAATATGTGTATATAAAATTATATCTGAAAATAAGCAAAACTTTATCACCATAGCACATTTTATCATGAAAGAATACAATCTAATACAATAATCAGAAAACTAGATAAAGAAAACTTTTCTTTGGTAAACTATGGTTCAAAGTCTTCTCAAAAATATGGACCTGGTCAGTAAGACTCAAAGTAGTTGTCTTATTTCTTTATTTTGCCCAAACAACTTCACCTTTAGTAGTTGACAATAACATATCACATGGGAAAAGAAGATCATAAATTTAAAAAAATGGAAATTCTACCATTTTATATAAGCTTAATCAATCATTCATGGCATCCTACCAGTCAAGAAAAGGTTCTCCCATAAACACAAGCTAACATGGTATTATCTGGTCAATAAAAAACCAATTCCAATATCTGATTATGAAGATTCAGAATGCTTTACTTTCTTTCCACAGCTGATTAACTCTCAGCAGAAAGCACAATGGGAAGATACATAGTTAATACACAGAGTCTAAGAACAATTTGAAAAACATTAACCTCTGTTTAAATAGAAAAGAAAATGAATATTAGGTTTTTGCTCTTTCAAAATGTGCACATCTAATAAATCTGTAGGAAAGTGATACACAGAAGGTTGCATTCTGTCTTGTGAAATGATATTTAAGTGAGTTTTAAGGACAAAATCATCATTACTAGGGACAAAAATCACTACTCCATATATATTATACAGAAATTATTCTAACAGTAAAAAGCGTGCAGGAGGAGAAGGGGATGACGAAGGATGAGATGGTTGGATGGCATCACTAATTCAATGGAAATGAGTCTGAGTAAACTCCAGGAGTTGGCGATGGACAGTGAAGCCTGGCGTGCTACGGTCCATGGGGTCGCAAAGAGTCGGACACAACTAAGTGATTGAACTGAACTCAAAAAGCAGGTAGTGTTGGTGAGGAAAATTCTCTGTACTGACAATCAAAAGAAACAGGTTTTATTTCTCCTGCTCCTGGTACTAAATGTATGGGAGACTTTAGGCAAGATCATTTAACTTCTCTGGACCCTGGCTTCTCATCTATAAAATAAGGGAGTCAAACTTAATTATCTCTAAGGTGCCTGTCACCTCTTGATTCATAACACTATAAACCTTCAAATCTGAAATAAGTCATTCATATTTTATACATTTATAAAATCAATACGAACCTCAGTCATTTGAGAGAGACAGTGATATTTCCCTCTTACCTGAAAAACCAGTGCCATGCAGCAAATTCCGAAGTTTATTACAGAGCTGGATCATGCTGTCCAGCTGTCTGTTTATCTTCACATCCTGTATCCAGGCTGGGGTGTAACACACTGGACATCCACTTCCAATGCAGTCACTTACACAATTACTTAAAAAGGATTAAAAAATATATAGATATCAACACACATTCAGCAGGATCTAAATTCCAAAAAATAAACAGCATAAACAGAAGTAAATGAAGCAAAGGCTGTTCTAATGAACATTGGTCAATCATAAAATATCAGTTAAAACAGTGTTTTTGAAAGAGTACATGACACTAAGGCACACATCATGCAATCCACATCTAAAGTTGCTTATGTAACTTGCTACGAAGAGACTATACCTGGCCAGACAAGAGTCTGCACAATTTTTCCCTGTAAATAAATCTATAGCTTCTAAAGAGAGTACAGAGGGAGATTAAAAAAAAAAAAAAATTTAGTCCCTAATGCATACAAGTCATGCATATGAACCTTTCCTATTCTAAACCTAATACTGTGCTTCATAGAAATTCCCAAAATTACTGCAAAGACAGAGGTAAAGGTATTTTTTCTTTTATTTGTGTTCAAGTGTCTTAAGGCTTTTAAAGAAGTTTCTGAGAAAAGATTTTGGTTCTTTCAGGTACTTTTAATCTGTAGACTCAGTTAAATGACCTCAGATTATCTGCCCAAGAGTTACAATCTCATAGTTAGAAAGGCTTTTCTTAAATTTCTTGGTGGCTCACATGGAAAGGAATCCGCCTGTTATGCGGGAAACCTGGGTTCGACCCCTGGGCTGGGAAGATGCCCTGGAGGAGGGCATGGCAACCCTCCAGTATTCTTGCCTGGAGAGTCCCCATGGCCAGAGGAGCCTGGCGGGCTACAGTCCATGGGGTGGCAAAGACTGAACAACTAAACACAGCACAGCACAACACCACCATCTGTGACTCCGATGAAGATGTGCACAAGCTTTTGTTCACAATTCCCCCCGAAACCTATCTGTGACTCCCGAAACAAGAACCCTCTACGCTTCATGGTGGGAGTTCCCTGGTGGCTGAGTGGTGAGGATTCCAGGCATTCACTGCCAGGGCGCAGCTTCAGTCCCTGGTTGGGGAACTGAGATTCTGCAAGCTATACAGCACAGCTGGAAAAAAACAAAAAACAAAAAAATAAACTTTCTGCACCTTCTTTAGCTTCACCAGATGGGCTGCAGCAGGAAGGGGTAAAATAATAGCCGTAACAGCCACATCTCCTCCAAACACCATACCCCTTTTCCTGTGACCCTCTTGTCTGCAGGCAGACGACTCCTCTCACAGGAGCCCCCTTCAGAATATTTAACCTGTCTTCTACTCAGCAAGACAAAGAAATTTGCAAAAACATAAAAACAGTGCCACCCTGCCATTTTGTCTTTGGTTTGCCAAAGTTATTTTCCCTTTAAAAGAGTTCTTTATATTACTATGCAATGTGTTTATTATCGTTATTTTTAAACAAATTAGTATTGTTTAAATGTCTCAGTTTTATATGGGAAAAACACATCCATAAACAAAAGCTCTTTGCAGGGCTCAATTTTCAAGAATGCAAAGTGGTTTGAGCCCAAAATATCTGGGTCCCCCTGCCACATATCTTGAAAATTTACATCTGAGAGTTCACGAACTACTTTTATCAGGGACTGGCATGAAAGTGTGATATTCTGAAGCTGCCAGAACCTGTCAGTAAGATAAAAACCTGTGTTCCCACCAATCTTCCCTTGACTCCAAGGCTTCAGCTGCACTGTGACATAGTAAAACCATCTTTTAAAACCACACAGCGGTTGGAGAAGGCGAGGGTAGGATGACTTGAGAATAGCATTGAAACATGTATATTACCATATGTAAAATGGTTGACCAGTGCAAGCTCAAGGCATGAAGCAGGGCACTCAAAACCAGTGCTTTGGGACAACCCAGAGGGATGGGGTGGGGAGGGAGAAGGGAGCGGGGTTCAAGATCAGGGGACACATGTACACCCATGGCTGATTCATGTCGATGTGGCATAAACCACCACAATACTGTAATTAGCCTTCAATTAAAATAAATTAATTAACTAAATGTAAAAAAAACTGCATGGCAGGAGTTCCCTGGTGGCCTAGTGGTTAAGATTCCAGGCATTCACTGCCACGGCCCAGGTTCAATTCCTGGTTGGGGAACTGAGATTCCACAAGATGCACAGCACAGTGCCCCAAAATGAAAACAAAACCTCACGGCATTTACAGCACTGGTCAACAGCTTTAATATCTCCAAATCTCCAAGAAACACAAACAGCTACCCTAATTCTTGGCACCATACAATGAAAATGAATCAGAACTACATTGAATCAGTTCTTTCTTCTGTTCACATATAGACAATCATTTTCTCTCTTAAGATGGTTCTCATGCCTCTCTTAATCTTTCATTGGTTGTTTTAAATCACAGATCCCTTCAGAATTCAATTAAAGGAATGGAACACAGACAAACAGATGCCTTACATACAGACCCCTTCAGAATCCAATTAAAGGTATGGAACACACACATATACACATGCTTTACATACAATTTCAAGTTTGTTATGCTCTAGATGTGTAACTGATCTATTATACACAGTGAGTACAACCCCGAAATGAAATACATCTGCTTATTCCAGAGTGGAGACAGGGAGCAGACAAATTTTAGATAGGCATTATTGGAGGCCTTTTGGAGGAGGTAATATTTGAGCTGAAATGTAACTGATGAAAAGCTAGGCTCACAAAAATCTGGCAGACAGAATTTTAGACAGGCATTATGGGAGACATTTGGAGGAGGTAATATTTGAGCTGAAACACAACTGATGAAAAGCTAGCCTCACAAACATCTGGCAGAAGTACAGCTCAGATGGAAAAATCAGTGGGTGCAAAAGTCCTGGGGCAGGGTGAGTTTGACATGTTCAACGACCCGAAAGGAGAAGGTGGCTGAACAGCGGGTCCGGGAGGCAGTCGGGGGCTCTGCCCCACGCAGAGTCTGGTGGACCCCAGCGCAGAGTGTTCTGATTGTAAAAGGAAACCCCTGAAGGGTCTTAGGAGTGGTGATGACATGAATGTGGCTCCGATTTTTAAAAGATCACTCACAAGAATGCAGAAAATGGAGAAGGGGACCAGCTCTGAACGTTTTACAATAGGCTGGGGAGAGATCATTTGCGGTGGCTTGGACAAAAGCATAAACAGGAAATAGAAAAGTGGGAAAACGAAAGACTTAGGGTACATTTCAGGTGAAATGGAGGACTTTATGATATGGGTTAAGCAAGAAAAATAGCAGCCAGGGGTGCCTACTGGTTTCTGCTTTGAGCAACTTTGGTACCATTTATTCCAACGGCACCATTTACTGCTATGAAGATGACCGAGGCAGGAACAGGGTAAAGGCAAGGACAAGCAACAGATCTGCTCTGAACATACCAAGCCTGGCATCCCGCTTCGTCATCCAAATGGAGTTATCAGGTAGGCAAGAGATACTCTTTCCTACCCCATCCTCCTGCTGGATGTGCCCCGTGGAGCAGACCTATGTTTCTATAGAGAAACAAGATTCGGACCCTAAGCAGAGCCGCCTCCCATAGCCCCCAGCCCACCCAAGTCACACAGTGCGTTACTTTCAGATGTGCTTACACTTCATATCGCAGTTTGCTCATGCCAAATAATCACAGTCATAACTTGAAATAATTAAAAGATTGATTCAAAGGAGGATATATTAACCCTGTCTCACAGACAATTAAACTAAGACATTCACTCCTTTAATTGATTTCCTCTTGAATAAGAAATAAGATGAGGTGAAAATCTAACATTCTAACCTCTCAGCCAGGGTTTTAGTAGCTATAATTTCATAGTAACTGTTATGGCTTGAATTGTGTCCCCCCACAAAAAGATGCTTAAGTCTTAAACCCCAGGACCTGTGACCTTATCTGGAAACAAGGTCTTTGTAACTGATCTAGTGTAGATGAGATCATTACAGTGAGCACCCTAATCCAATATAACTGGTATTCTTAGTCTTATAAAAAGTGGACATTTGGACACAAATAGTCTACTCTGGCCACTTGATGTGGACAGCCCACTCATTGGAAAAGACTCTGATGCTGGGAAGGGTTGAAGGTGGAAGGAGAAGAGGGCGACAGAAGTTGAGATGGCTGGATGGCATCACCAATGCGATGGACATAAACTTGGGCAAACTCTGGGAAAAGGTGAGCGACAAGGAGGCCTAGCCTACTGCAGTCCGTGAAATCGCAGAGTCGGGCACGACTTGGTGACTCAACAACAACAGGCACAGAAGGGAGACTCGCATGGGAACTCGCAGGCTAAGAGCAGACTGACGTATCTCTAAAGGGAATACTGCCAGAGACCAAAGATTCTGCACCAGCAGGTAGGAGAGAGGCACGATACAGACACTCCCTCAGAAGTAGGCCAGCCTCACTAATACCTCGCTATTCGACTTCTAGCCTCCACAGCTGTGAGACAATACATTTCTGTTGTTCTCAAAGTCACCTGGTTTTTGGTACCCTGTTATGGCATCCTTCAGAAACTACTACAGTAAATGATAAACTTAGGTTTCACAATTTGCAGAGGCCTAGATTCAAAATTAACTGGAAGGGTAAGAGAGGCATATTTGAATTATATAGTAATTAATTTTCTCCCCCAAACTTTCTCCCCAAACTCCCCAAATAGTAAAGCTATTTTCTAAGCTTTGTACCAGTGGATAAGTTACCCTCTTTGACCTTTTAGCTTCTGATTTGTAAATTAAGACAAATAAAAGGATCAAAAGGAGATAATGTACAGTAAGTCATTTTGCAGTCCATGAGAGTTATACAACAGAAAGTAATACTAGTATCAACATGATCATGTGACTATTACCTTGGTAAAAAAAATACACTTACATTAAATGTGTATGTCTATCTATCATAAGCCATCATTACTTACCTACAGAAGATGTGCTCACATCCACCTAAGCACACAGGCTCCCTCAGAATATTAGTGCTGTTTGAAGAAAGAAAAATAATCAAGACTTAGGTCACTTAAACATTTTTTTACCCAACGTTTCACAGGTCCAAGACCCAATACTACTGTACTTGTTTCTCAAAACATAAGATATTAAGGTCATATTCATTTGAAAGGCTGTAGCTCCCTGATTAAATACTGTATCATCACACATCTGCTGAATTCAAATAACTACTACTGAACTCAGGACAAACTGTAACACTTTTTATAATGTATATGCTGTGAAATCATAGAAAGAAGCAACTTTGCTCAATATCTCTGAACCTCTTTCAAGTAAAACCAACCACTGGCCACTTCTTTCAATTCATGATTCAAAGTGTAGACCATAAATCTCAAAATGAGACCCACAAATAGAATGACTATACAGTGTACTGTCCAAATGAAAATACTTCTGAGAGTAAAGGGGAGTGATAACTGGATAGAATAGCAAGTGTAAACCAAGACTGTCATAGAAAAATAGGACATCTGGTCCCCTTGACCATAAAAATTTATGGTTTCCCATTAAAAAAAAAAATTTTGCTTTCCAGTGGTTGTCAAGTAGCCATCTATTTTTTACAGATATCTTTTCAGAAATGCAGCTATTCTTTCTACTTATAGGAAATTGTTTTATTCTTTAAAGCAACTGGGAATAGGAATCATCAGGTTGGCAGTCTGCAGAAAATTAAGTATCTCCAGCATTGTCCATCAAAAAACACCTGCTAAGTTTGATAATCCTAAGAAGGTAAAGCTACTTAACTAATAAACACAGACCAAATCATTAAAGTCAGAGGGCGTAATGAAGTAAGAAAAAACAGAAGTAAAGCTTTTTAAAAAGGAACTTTTTCTAGTTTGTTATACTAACCCTAGGACCTTTAGGTATTTACATCATTATTATCCAATTATCTCTGCACACATCTCACGTATCAATAAAAATAGCTAAGTTTCTTGAAAGATCAAATGCATCACACTGCACATTTTAATAGATATGAACATTAAAGTGAAATTGAGCTTTCAGCAAGAGTGCTAAAAACAGAGCACACCCACAATGTTATTCTCAAGATATTGAAAATGGTGCTCACTGACATTATAAAACCCATCACTTTTTAAAAACTCAGAATATCTGGTTTCTCTATCACACTACACAGAACAAAGTGACAAAAATATGACTTGTGCCAGCAACGTCTGGCAATTCAGATGATCTCTGCTACTATACTCACGCTAGTCCTATAATTTCTGTACATTATTCGAGCTACCAAACCTAACCTCTGATCTCCGAATAAGTGTGTTAAACTCTACTTCATTACAAGCTTTGCCTCTGAGATCTCAAAAGTGGTGTGACCAAAAGTCCTCTTATCATAATATCCCCCCTCCCTTTTATCCCATCACCCTGACCAAACCTTCACATTCAGGTTGCTCTCCACCTGGAGAGACTTCCATTCAGTATTAGCTGCTTGGATTCGCTACCAGCCCAGGCCACAGAGTTTTACATGCTTCAGCACCATCTTCACCATCACCCTAATTCTACCAACCTCTCAGAAACTCAAGAATGCCAATCCACAATGCTAAACAGACCCCCCAGTCAGCTCCTTCCATGCCTGCACTCAGGCTCTGAATAACCACTATAAAAAGACAGAAATACATACAAACTTGTCTCTAAAACTCATCAGGTAGTTTCCTCACCATTGTATCTCTACTAAAATGATGTAGTAGGTGTTCTGTGAGTAAACAAAAAGTGAATAGACTATTAAAGCAATGCCCAAGCTCTAAATCCCATTAATCTTACTGAAGCCAAACAGTGTGAGCTTTGTCCTACCAGATTTATTCCTACTTCCCCACCCTCCAGGTTCAGAGGGAAAGACCTCCTTCAGTCATTCTCCTTCTTAAAATGAGCTGCTCTATTTGTCCTTGGATCCCTTATCGTCCCTGCTTTCTAAAAGAAGTCTATTCACATGACTATAGCCACCTTTCATCTTCTAGCTGCATCTAAACATGCAAAGTTAATCTCTCCTGCAACATAAAAAAATAAAACCCTTTAGACCCTGCCCCCGACTCTCCCTTCAGCTCTAGCTCTTCCCTTTCTTGTATATTTAAGATCTTAAGTAAGGAATCTCACCAGCAAATCCAGGAGTCCACAATGCTTTATAGCACCAGGGGCTAGTGTCGTGGAGGGCAATTTTTCCGTGCACTAGTGGGGGAGTGGGTGGGGTTTGGGGATGATTCAAGAGCATTACGTTTATTGTGCATTTTATTTCTATTGTTATTACATCAGCTCCATCTCTGATTATCAGGCGTTAGATCCTGGAGGTTGGGGACCACTGAGCTAATCTGCCTTTTCTTCCTAGCTTTAACTCCCATCTGTCTGTTCACACTGCTCACCAAAACATGTTTTGGTCCTCATCCTCCCCGACATCCCTGTGAAATAACATCAACATCACCTTCTTTCCTGAAACCTTTCCTGAGTTTTAATTTTCTTAATTTGCTGAGTTCAATACTTCCTTAGTTGCCTCTTTTCCTATTTCTCAATGGAGGTGTACCCTCAGGATGCAGCCCAGAGCCTTCTGGCTTTCTCTGCCAATACTTGACTCAATGACTTGATTCTATTTATAAACATAAATTTCCTTCCTAAAATGAATTTCTTGATCTACAGTTCTTACCCTTCACCCCAGCAACAAGATACTACAGTGCAATTAGAAATGAATCCAGTACTATAAATAACTGGTCAACTATAGTAATTATTTTAATTAATGACCTTGAAAATATTTTTTATTGCTGTTAAATGAGAAAAGACAGTGGAAGAATAAATGAAAATTGCATGCATGTATGAGTTAGGGGAAGGAGCAGGGAGAGGAGTGTTATAGCCAAAACTGGGAGTAGTTCAAAAGAATTCTAATGGAAGAGCTCAAAGAATAGATTCACTACACAGAAGGTGACACTAATTTCTCTCAAAAGTGAGACTTCCTCAAATGTCTAGAGCTCCGCTGAGAAGACTCTCTGGAATAAAAGAATTCTTATTACAACCAGACAATACCTATCAAAATTTTAAATGTGCCAAACTTTAACTCAACTATTCTACTGCCAGCAAGTTATTTTTCAGATAATCTCAGAAGCTTGCAAAACTGAAACTTCAAAATAGTAAAGGTATCTATCTAACCAAGATACCAAAAGCTTCCAGAGACTAAGATAAAACGTTAGATATATATACATACATATTTTTTTTAAAGAATTCAGAATAGCACAAGTCATCTCAAGGGAGACAATGGACATTAGGTCTTCACAGTAATGACTAAAAATTATTTTGTACTTTGAATACGATATCCAGTCATCTTCCACAGTAGAAAGTTGATCACTGGTAATCAGAAAAGTCATCTTTCAGAGTAGGAAGTTAGGAAATAAACAAATAATGTCCAAAATGGAAAAAAAATCTAGAACTAGCAATAGAAACGCATTTGGTCATGAAAGAGGCTGTACCTGTAGTATAGAACTCAAAGGTGATACGAATGAGGCAAAAGAATATTTCATTACAGTAGTACAGTCTTTGATTTTGTCAACTGTGTTCAGGCATAATTTCAATTTAAAAATTTTTAATGTAAAGACACATGGACAAGGACATTCACTCTAGGCTAAGTCTTGTGTTTATATAGCACAAGACTGGAAACTAAATTTCCACCAAGGAAATGGTTAAATAAATCGTGATACATCTACCTGATGATTGGTATCCTCTCATCTGAGGTACAAAGTGCTTATACAAATGGAGAACCACTTAAGGGACACACAAGTAATTGATTGCAGTGGGTTCTTGAAGAAGGTTCAGACTTACTTGTCATTCATTTAACAAATGTTGAATGACTGTATACTGTGTTATTTTAATTCTTTGGCATATACATGTATTACTTTCAGGTTTTAAAACCCAGTTTTAAACAATTCTTCACAATTTGATTACTCCAAAGCAAAAACTGCTCTTATCACACCCGTCAGTGTCTGTTAACATTTCTCAAATACCTTAAGTCCAGTGCCAAGCCGAGGACTGCTCAGACTGTCCCCAGTCTAGAATATATCAACAGTTCCTCCTCTTCCAACACTATTCAAGCCCAACACATTTTCCAAATACTCTCCAGGATGACAGAATAAAAATGACACTAAACAAAGAAGCATAGAAACACTTCGAATTTTGTTTCCATATCATTCACTTCTGCAGAACCTGTACCCCGCAGCAGACACACACAGGACACAAAACTGACTGCATTATATCCTTCCTAAGCGGCTTACTAATCTAGTTAGGTAGTTTTATAAGCCAAGTTAACATTTGACTTACGACCAAAATGTTCTAAAGTTCCACACATGGCATCAAGCAGGGCTCTGGAAACCAATGCTGAAAACTAAGTATTTTGTATTTTATCTTCCTGATTCCTTTTTTTTTAAGTCTCCAAATAGATCGTAGTCCTACGGACAAGAAATCTTGACTTTCATTTTTTCTGAGCTCCCCAACACACCATTACCTACCTAGTATGGTGCTATGTGATTTCAATAAATCCTTAGGGAATGAATCAAGCAGAAGACTACATACGAAAATGCATTTATATTAGCAATTCTATGTTATCTGCACCCTGTATTTTGTGGGATATACCGGGGGAAAAAATCCACAGGAAAAAGAAAATACATTTGCATGGTAACCGGATTTCTGCACCTTGAAAATTCAGCTACTTTACTTTTTTCCATCTGCCATCATACTTTTGTTACTTTACATATAGTTGATTTAGAAAGACCTGTAATCAGAGGATTATAACTAAGTGAAGAAATAAGTAGGGAAAACAAATTTTTTTTTAAAGGTCTTACTGACAGAAAATTTTCTTTGCAAAGAAGAAAAAGAAAGTAAATTCAGTTGAGATCACAATACTGAGGCAGACCTATTTCTGAACTGAATTGGTCCCTAAGTTTCCATGAGATAACAACTGCTACTTAGTATTAGGCAAGATAGCTACTGGGCTTCCCTGGTGGCTCAG